CTGAGTGCGAGCGCGTGGAGGAGCAGCGGGTGTGTCGGCGAGTGGCGAAGAAAGTTGCTGCTGTTTGCATGCGGACAGTTGTGGGGTTTGAAGAGTTCAGCTGCATGCAGCAGCAGCAGCAGCTGCAGTGCCGGCCTGTTGCAGTGCAGGTGCGGGGTGTATGTACAGTGCAGGTGGAAGCAGCAGAAAGCTACCCGTGCATGCAGCCGCAGCAGCAGCGGCAGTGCCGCAACGTGAAAGTTGCTGTTGCTGCTTCCTGCAGCAGGAAGGTGAAGCAGCAGCAGCCGTACCCCTGCATGCAGCAGCGGCGCGTGCGGCGCTGCGAGCTGCAGCAGGTGCAGCCGCCGCCGCAGCAGCAAATCTGCACCGAGCTGCAGCAGCAGCAGCAGCAGTACCCCTGCACGAAGCCAGTGAAGGCCGTGCAGTGTACGTACACCCCAAAGACCTGCCGCCGCAAAGTCCAGAAGCAAGTTCAAGTCCCCTGCAGCAAAACGGAGTGTGCTGCAGCAACAGTTGCTGCTGCTGCAGTTTGCATGCGCCCCGTCACCCGCACTGTCACCTACCCCTGCCCCCGCACCGTGCTGCAGCAGCAGTGCAGGCTGCAGCAGCAGCAGCAGCAAACCACTTGCTACCGCACGCAGCTGCAAACCAAAAGAGTTCCTTGCCAGCAAATTTCTTATCAAACTGTCTGCAGCCCCAGGGCCCCCCAGCCCTGCAGCAAACACACTTGCGCAGTCCACAAGAAGCACAAAGCCAAGTACTGATGCAGCAGCAGCAGCAGCAGCTGCTGCTGCTGCTGCTGCGGCAGAAGCAGCAGCAGCGGCAGCACAAGCAGCGGCAGCAGCAGCAGAAGGAGCAGAAGCTGCAGCACGGCAGCAGATGCGGCAGCAGCTGCAGCAGGTGTGAATGCTGCTTCTGCTGCAGCTGCTGCAGCAGCAGCAGCAGCAGCAGGAGTGATTGCTGCTTGCTGCTGGTGCAGCAGAAGTAAATGCGGCTGCTGCTGGTGCAGCAGCAGCGGCGGCGCCAGGGAGAGAGGTCGGCAGCGTAGGGGAAGAACGCGGCGCAGTGAAAGACAGCAGCAGCAGCAGCAGCAGCGGCAGCAGAAACAGCAGCAGGAGCAGCAGCCAAAACTTCCGTTATCTATATATCTGCAGCCAGTGCTGCTGAGTTGGCATTTGCAGCACTTCGCATTTTCCAGGCAAGAGCCTGTTACAGCTTGCTGCTGCAGCAGCAACTGCAGCAGCAGCAGCAGCAGCAGCAGATTGCTGACTGCTGCAGACGCAGCTACTGCAGGCGTCTTTGAATGCAGACTGAAATTAATATTCCAAACGCCCCAAACCCTAAACCCTAAACCCTAAACCCTAAACCCTAAAGCGCTTCTTTGAATGCAAGCTGGACTGACCAGCTGCCGCTTCTTCAGCAGGACAACTCCACAATCAAATCTATTTCTACTTTTTAATTATAATTATAATTTTATTTTATTTTAATTGTATTTTAATTATATTTCAATTATGTTTGAATTATATTTTAATTTATAATTTTGTTTTTGTTTTTATTTCCATTTCCAATCCCAGCAAACGGCATGCAGACACCTGCCTATACACCCCAGCACCAAGCACTCAAAATAAAAGTTGAAAGCGCACTTGTGTACTTTCCGCTGCTGCTGCTGCTGCAGCAGTAGCAGCTGCTGCTGCTGCAGCAAATGCGGCCTAGGCAGCAGCGGGGGGACTAATTTGCTGCAGTAGCAGCAGCAGCAGCAGCCGTTCTGCTGCTTGGCGTGATAGGGCTGCTGCTCCAGCAGACGGGCAGCACTCCCCCCTTCATTTGCTGCAGCAGCTTTCGTATCTGTTGCTGCTGCTGCTGCTGCTGCGGCTGGTGCGGCTGCTGCGGCACGACCTTGAGGTCCATAGGGTCTCGCTGCTGCTGCTGCTCTGCTGCAGCAGCAGCAAACGAAATCGCCTGCTGCTGCAGCCACAAAGCCTCCAGCTGCCCCGGGCCTATAAACTGCTTTTGCTGCAGCGGCTGCTGCAGCACTGCGGTGTACAGACACCCTCTTGCTGCCTCGGCAAGTTGCTGCTGCTGCGTCGCCAGCAGCTGCAGCAGCAGCGCAGCAGCCTGCTGCTGCTGCCGATGAAGCACACGCCGCCTAC